CCCAAACTGTGTGGTCAAACCTTGTCTTGGCCTCCTGCCCCCATGCCAAACCTGATCCCTTTTCTAATTTAATAGAAACCTCAGAATTGTCTTATCAGCCAGATTTCTATAGGACATCTTGTAGGAGTCCAATTTCTCTTTCCGTGTGTGTTTGGGCAATTGAATTTGAGTCAAATTGTCAGTTCTTGTGGCAAGCAGCTTTACCCATTGAGCTACCTTATCTGCAGCTGGCTTCACCTCTTCCTTGCCCTCATAGACTTGCTGATACAGGCTCAGGCATTTCTGCATTCAGTCCTGCATGACTCAGAATTGTTCTACAGGACTCTAATCCCTTGATTTCCTCTGTGCTACAGCAGAAGCAGGAGAAGGCCCTGTGGTGCCATTTCTTCTAAGACATGGACAGATCCAGTTAATGTCTTCGTGTGGCAATACATCCATGTTCATTTATGAACTCTCTACGCTAGGAGCTTTATGGTCTTCTTGGTTACAAATATGCTTTCCTGCTTCATGGGTATAGCAGAAAACAAAAGGCCACCAGGGTGTGGTGGTGCATGTCTGTAATCCTAACTACTTGTAAGACTGCCACAAGAGAACTGAGTTGAAGTCCTTGTTCTAGGTGTGAGACCTTTCTTGATGGCTTTAGGCTAAGGCTGTTCACACTTCCTCAAAAGAGCCATTGTGAGCCATTGTGGGGTATGGTTTTTCTTTGAGGCTGGGTCTTACTGTGTGTACCCTAGCTGGCCAGGTATTAACTATGTAGACCAGGCCTGGAACTCACAGAGGTTGGCCTGCCTCTGCTTCCTGTGCTGGGATTAAAGGTATTTGCCATCAGGGTTGGAGAGATGATGGCTCAGCAATTAAGAACACTGTGTGTTCTTCCAGAGGATCCAGGTTCAATTCCCAGGACCCATATGGAAGGTCACAACTGTCTGTAACTCCCACACACAGATAAACATACATGCAGACAAAACACCAATGGCCATAAAATAAGAATAAATAAACCATTAAAACAAAATGAAAGAAAAGGTATATAGTATCATGCCTGGCTTTATGATTTTGACATACAATGTTATTATGCCAACTTTATTGAATAAGTTGTCCTTTCTCATATCTCCCCTCCCCCGCCAGACAGGATTTCTCTTTGTAGCCCTGGCTGTCCTGGAATTCCTGCCTCCGCCTCCCAGGTGCTGGGACTAAAGGTGTGCACCACCACTACCTGCTTCTCTTTCTTATCCTCTTAAAATTGAAATTGTGACTTTACCATATATCAAAATAATCTTCCTAAATATTTGAATCTGTTTCTGGACTTTCTCTTTCCCTCAGATAGTTCTCTTCTCATCCCTCTCCTCTCCCCTCCTTCCCTGCAGCCTTCCTTCCTTCTTCCCTTCCCCTCCTCCAATTTCCTTTCTCCTCCTCCTTTCCTGTTCCCTCCCCTCTCTGACAGAGTCTTACTGGCACCTGGAATTTGCTTTATAAACCAAGGTGCTCTTGAATCTGGTAATCCTCCTGCCTCTGTCTCCTGGCATGTGTTTCTTTTTATTAGAGGAAGTTTGCAGTAAATAGTAACATCTAGAAATGAAAGCCCCTGGTAGTTTTGTTTTGTTCAGACCTTATTCAAAGATAAGGCCTGTGGCCTTGTTGGAGTTGACCCTTGAGCAGGGTCAACCGTGGGCTCTAGTTTTCCTGTACTGTTGTTGAATACATGTCTTTTCTTCAATGAGTATTTTTTTTGGGGGGGGGGAAATCTTTGTAAAAAAACAGGTATATCTATCTAGCTGTATGGGCTGATTCGTGGATTCTCTTTTATCCTATTGACCTACATATCTTTTGTATCAGTACCATGTTATTTTTATCCCTTTAGCTCTGTAGTATAACTTCAGATCAAGTATAGTGACACCTCTTGTCTATTGGTTTTCATTTATTTTTTAAGACAGGGTCTCTCTTTGAACTGACTGCTGCTTACTGATCCGACAAGACCAGCTGTTGAGCAGGTCCCAAGGATCCTTCTGCCTCCATCTTCCTAGAGCTGGGGCTACAGGTATGTGCTGACATACTGTAACCTTGATGTTTCCATGTAGGAGATGGCATAGAACTCAAGTGCTCATGCCCTGCCATCATCAGCATCATTTAACAAGATCAGATTGATTTCTTCTCATAATTCCCTAAGCAATACAATCAGTATTCTTTTGGTTCAGGATTGTTTTGGCTATCTGTATGTACCCTTTTGTGCTTCAAGGTTTTCAGGTGGATTATTACACTATTAACTTGAGAGCTCTCAAAAAAATATTTTTGTTTTTGTTTTTTTTTAAGACACAGTTTCTTTTTGTAACAGCTCTGGCTGTCCTGGAATTCACAGAGATCCACCTGCCTCTGCCTCCCTAGTGCTGTGATTAAAGGTGTGTGTGTGTGGGGGGGCAGGCATGGTTTACATCTTGATTTTTCTTTTGACCCAATTATCATTCAGTGGGGTATTCTTTAGTTTCCATGAGTTTGTGTACTTTGTGTTTTCCATTGCTGTTGATACCTGTGCTTATTTGGGATGAAACAGAATGAAGGATGTTAGGTCAATTTTCCTGTATTTGTTGAGACTTGCTTTGTATCCTAATGTGTGGTTGATTTGAGAGAAAATTTCCATGGGCTTCTGAGAATGTGTATTCTTGTTTGTTTTTGTTTTTCAAGACAGAGTTTCTCTGTGTATGTTTGAAGCCTGTCCTGGAACTCTCATCTGTAGACCAGGGTGGCCTTGAACTCAGAGATCCACCTGCCTCTGTCTCCCGAGTTACAATTTTGGGTGCTGAGAATTGAACCAGGGTCCTCCAGATGAGTAGCTAGTGCTCTTAACCTCTGAGCTATCTCCAGCTCCTTCCTTTGGGTTTTTATTGAGAGCATTTGAATATTTGAATGCATACAAAATAAACAAACGTATTCTTTACTAGACTTATTCATTTTATGTGCTTTGCTTAAATGCATGTATATACACCATATGCATTGTTGGTGCTCTTGGAGATCAGAAAAAAGGTAATGGACTCCCTGAAACTGGTGTCATAGATGGGTTTGCTCTTTTACAACAGTAACAGGTGTTCTTAACTGCTGAGCCATCTCTCTAGCACTAACTGTTTTTAAAAAGGAGATAGCTTTCAAGATGGATGTTAGTCTGTGCCATTAACAGAAATTGTTATCTAAGTTGTGAACGTGATGTGATACTAAAATTCCTTTATTTCCCGTAATGTGTAACGTTGACATTTTATGTGTATCAGAGCTAGAGAGCTGCTCTACTGTTGGATCCCAAAAGTCCGAACAAACATCCCATATTTTACTGGAAGTTCTGGCTGGCTGTACATAGCAATTTCTCCCAGAGAAATTAGAAGCAGGTGTGGTGCAGAGGTAGAGGATCATAAACTCAAGGCCAGCCTGGGCTGCATAGCCCATCTCAAAAAAGACACTAAAAGCAAGGAGGAGATGATAAAGATGGGAGCTTAAAAGTAATGAGATAGCAAATGGACAGAGAGCACACAACTGCCATCTGGCTACAGAAGCAAACATGTATTCATGGCTTTCACATCAAGCTTCATTACCATCCTTCATTTTATTAAGCACTTGTTGGCCAGAAACCAAAACAGATCTTTCTTTTCCTTATCCCCTTACGTGAGTGGCATACACTGCACCTGCTTCTGTACCAACCCAATGCTCACCCACCCATCTTCCTAGCCTGTAAGTTTTTGCTGATGTCCTCTTGTTAGGATTACTGCTGTGGTCCTGTAAACATCCTGAAAATTAGACCTGTTTAAAAAGGCACATCTTTAGTATTCTGTCCATTAGCCAATTTTAATGAATCCTGTCTTAAGATGGTTTCTGCAGCCTCTGCCAACTGGCTGCCAGATGTCCCACATGTACCGGCTTGGTCCTGTTCTGCCTCCGATCTTCTGCTGGATCCCCTCGTCTCAGGAGCACACAATGCTAGTTTGACTCTCCAGCCACTTTGGATATGTCACTTTGGGGACTTCTCCCTTTTTACTATGGAATATCCCCCAAAACTAACTTCACTCAGTAAAAACTAGTTATTTACATTCCTGAATAGCTGCCTGAGAGGAGAGGCTGACTGAACTTTCTATGGAAAAGCACTTCCTGCAGTGTGAACATAAACTGATGTACATTTTTGTATTAAACACAACAGATGTCTATGTCTTTTATCCCTTCAGCTCCCACCCCACCCTCAAATGGACACACTGTTTAGAGAGGGATATTCAGGACTTAAAATAAATAGAAAAAAACTAGGCATAATTTGAAAGGAAACATGAATTCCAATTTTTCAGAATATGAACAAAGAGGCATACTGTGCTTGGGAAAATACAAAGTTCTTGCATTTAAAATTGTGAAATATACTTCTAACAAACACTAGCAGAATCGCAATGTACACTCTACCTATCTGAGGACCAGAATCACCCATTCATTGTAGAACATGAAATGTGCTGGGTGCTCTGATACTTTGATACTTTTAAGGACTGACTCCCCCCTCAGGGACTGCATCTGAATAACCCTTTTTATCTCTTTCTTTTGAAGAATACAAAGCTAAGAGTGAGAAGTATTAAGCTAGGACATGGGGAGATAGCTCAGTCAGTAAAGCTCTTGTCTTACAAGCTTGAGGCAGAATCCACATAAAAAACTGGGTGTGGTATCACACAGGTGTAATCCTAGTCATAGTGAGCTGGGAAGTGGAGACAAGTAGATCCACAGAATTCGCTGCCTAGCTTACTTGGTGACATTCCATACAAGTGACTGACCCCAGTCTCAAACAGAAAGGGGACTAGCATCTGAGCACCTGAGAGCATGCACACTCTTGCACAGCAGGTACACTCCTCTCTCTACACGAACACACACACACACACACTCTAAGTACAAGGTATTAATTAAGCTGGAAATTATGTGGGGCGGGTACTGGATTGCAAACCCAGGGCTTTGTACATGCTAGGCAGGCACTCTACCACTGATCTGTACTCTCAGCCATGAAAAGTATTTATCTTTCCAATAAAAGTGTTCTGAACTGCTGAGCTGGCCAACGTTACTTAGTGAAGGTCCTTCCTGTGAACCCGCTGGTGGATGTGGAGGTTGGAGCTCTGGCTGAAGCCCCTCCCACACTTGCTGCACTCGTAGGGCTTCTCCCCGGTGTGCACTCTCTGATGAATGAGGAGTTTGGAGCTCTGGCTGAAGCCCCTCCCACACTTGCCACAGTGGTAGGGCTTCTCCCCGGTGTGCACCCTGAGGTGGATTCGCAGGTCTGAGCTCTGGCTGAAGCCCCTCCCACACTCACAGCACTGGTAGGGCTTCTCCCCCGTGTGGATACAGCGGTGGATGTGGAGGTTGGAGCTCTGGCTGAAGCCCTTTCCACACTCCGCACACTTGTAGGGCCTCTCTCCCGTATGGACACGCTGGTGGATGTGCAGGTTTGATCGCTGACTGAAGCTCATGCCGCACTCCTCACACTCATACGGCTTCTCTCCAGTGTGGACCCTCAGGTGGATGTGTAGCTTGGAGCTCTGACTGAAGCCCTTCCCACACCTGTCGCACTTGTAAGGTTTCTCACCTGTATGGACTGCCTGATGGACGAGCAGACTCGAGCTCCTGGTGAAGCCCTTCCCACACTTGTCACACTTGTAAGGTTTCTCATCCATGTGGACTGCCTGATGGATGAGCAGACGAGCTCCTGGTGAAGATGGTCCCACAATGCTCATATCCACAGGCTTTTCCTTTCAGATGGTCTCTCTGATGGAGCATTAGCTCTGAGTTCTGACCACATCTGTATAGTTTCTGGAGTGGGGGTTTGCTTGAAGAGATGACCATCTGGGTTGTGTTAAGCACCTTCCTGGAGTGATTACAGTTACAGGGTTCCTCTGTGTGGTTTCTCTGAAGACTACGGGCGACTAATGGTGGCTTCCATCTACAAATTCTTTACTGTCACAGTCAAAGGGAAGAACTAAAGAGTCTTTGAAGTGGACATTTTGGAGAGTTGTCTCCCTAGGGAACGATGGAGATACCGGATGGTTGTGTTACATCAGGTGTGTTTAACTTGAAGTTCCTCTGTCTATGGGATGACATTCCCCCCTTATTCCTCTTCTCAATTCATTCTTCAGTAACAGAGAAAACTCTTTTTTCTCTGAGGCTCCTTACACTGTCTGGCCATTTGGCTTGGAACTTCAAAGATAAATACTTTGTCACTTTCAGTGTTAGTGAGATCACTGACAGGAATCTATTATAACGTCTGTGAGTACTTTTTGAAGATGAATAATATAAATGAAGTCTTCTCTCTTTTTAAATATAAGTGCTTTGTCTGCATGTATGTCTGCATCACATGCCTGCCCGGTACTTATGGAGGTCACTGGATCCCCTAGAACTCGAGTTATGGATGGTTGTGAGCCACCATGTGAGCACTGGGAACTGAACTTGTAAGAGCCACAGGTGTTCTTAGTCTCTGCATCATCTCTCCAACTTCCTGAAGGCCTTTCTCTTGATTCTCCACAGAATTTGTGTTTGACTCTCCTAGGAAACAGAGAATTTAGTGATAAGAAAGGGTTCCAGAATAGGAGAATCTAAGACCTAAACACTTAGTAACCCAAAATTTAGCTAGCTTTCTTTTCTCTCTCCCTCCCCCACCCCCTTCTTTTGGTGGTGCCTGGGATTGAACCAAGGATCCCATGCATGTTAGTCAAATACTCTAGCACTATACATACTATAGCTCGTTTGTGCTTATTCCTTTTGGGCTATCATTGGGATAGGGAAACCTGGGTTCAGAAGATAGGCATGCATTTCTTCTCTGCTTTTGAGCAGAAATGTAAGATATTATTATTTTATCCTTCTCGTGAAAGATCATAAATACTTTATCTTGCCACAAGTAACATTTCATTCCATTTCACTTGTTTTTGACTAAATGTCCATTAATCAGTATATTACTTTCATAACTGTTAGAGCTGTAAGAAACATAATAGAAATCTTTTGGCCTGACAAATTAGTTCTGGGATGAAAGACAAATACATCAACAATAATACCAAATTAAAGCCTATGAACATATATAATACAATATACTGTAAACCAACCAGCTGTAGGAACAGATTGTGGGCACTAAAACTCAAACCATCATTCCTTAAGAGGTCTGAAAATAAAAATAGGAAAAAAGCTCAATAAGGAAAGAAAACAAGACCCACTTAGTGTTAAGTGTTACAGCTTGGATGGAAGGAATACCACAAGTCACACTGCAGATTTATCGGAAGGGAAAAACCAGGAGGATGGCTGCTTCTGCTCCAGCAAGAAACAGCAGAAACTTTAGCAGACAGGGTTTAAAATAGTTTCTTGGGGAAGGCTGTGGAACTTTTCAGGGTGAAGTTTTCCAGGGTGGGGATTGGTGGGGTTTCAAGTCCAGAGCTTGGGCTTTTTACTCTGTAGGGTGCAGGCTGGGTCCAGTTGTTAGGGCAGTTTAGAGTGCTCTGTGGATGGAATCTGGCAGTTGGAGGACCTCAGGGGGAGGGGCCTGGCTACTAGTGTGTCTCAAAGGGCTTACATGTAGGAAACTGAAAGTAGCTTTTTGTAAGGCGCCCAAACCTCAACCACTCCTCTTATGATGACAGTTGGTTTCTAGAGACTGTGTTCCTTGAGCCACATCAAACTTACTCTTTCTCCAGACTAGCTGTTCCTCCATCCACAATGTTCTTTTTGCACATCTCACACCTGGCTCTGTGTCATTCAGATCTCAGCCAAGCTTCTGCCTCCCGGAAGATGTACTCCCTTGACCATCAAATCTAGAGCACACTCACTTTCATTTTCTGGTTTTAATTTCTTTATATGGCTTAACTCATCTTGTCTGTTCATGTTCTTGCGTTTGCTCCATCCCCATTTAAGTTCTCCAGCACAGAGAAGCTAACATTTATTCTCCAAGGCCTCAAACAGGGCCTGGCACATAAAAGGAATCCAATTATTTAATCTTTATCCTTCACAAGGTCACAAGTCTCCTCCTCTCCAGGATTCTACCTGATGGAGCAGTTATTTTTCTAACTACCTGTGGCGAAGAACCATTTTGTTGTTTAATAAACATTTATTCTCAATTTCTATTGCTTATGCCTTCATGGCTGATACTAGCGAACAAGCCATACTTTGAAAAGCAGAGTGACAGAATGTTAAGAATGATAGGAGAGGCTGGGCATTGGTGGCACATTTCTTTAGTCCCAGCAGAGACAGGCGGATCTCTGGGAGTTCGAAGCCAGCTTGGTCTATAGAACTAGTTCCAGGATAGGCTCCAAAGAATGACAGGAGATAAACAGAGCCTTATTCAGTAGTGTCAAGAAAGCGCTCAATAGCTATCTCGTCAGAGTGCAGTGCTGTTTTGTAACCTGGATTAGCTAAAACAGTTCTCACCTGAGGCTGAGGCAACAACTCAGGAAACAGAACAGCCTGCAGAAGCGGTTAACTTGTGTGGGAAAGTGAACTAATCCCAAGGCCAAGCAAGTGCAGGAGAAGGTCAGGATAGGAGTCTCCTATTCCTAATGGACAAGTACTAAACTGTTTGGAGCTACGGACAGGCCGTCACATGACTTTCCACTTCCTCTTCAGAGTCTCTGTACCATATCTAGCAATTCAGTTAGGGGTGGGAAACTGATGCGGAAGCTGAGAGAGACACGAGGCCACACCTGGAGTCACCTAAAGACGGCTGAGTCTACCATAGTTCCTTCCATCTGCCCGTCCACTCCTTTCAGCCCACTCTAGAACTTCCAGCCTCACACCGATTCACAAGACCAGGGACTTCTCCTTTGTGACATCATAGCATCTCTGACATCTTTTTTATAACTGGCTGCACAATTCTAAATGGCAGGGTCATGCTCAGCTTTAAGTGCCCAGCAACTAGCACAAATGACTTGGAATCTAGTTGACAAATACTCAGTTTAGAAAACAATGAGATGAGACAACTAAAAGAGAACCTACCTAAAAACCATCACAGCTAATGTCTCATTTTACAGATGAGGGAACCAAGGCCCATGATGATGAAATTACTTTCCCATGGCCACAGAGAAGGAGGTTAAACTGGAACACTAGCCCTTCAGCAGAAATCAAAGACAAACTCTAGAACATAGAAGAGTACTGGGAAAGTAACTTCAAATAAAAAAGAAATGTTAGAGTCTTACTGTACAGCCCAGATTGGCCTTGAACTTGTGCACAGCCTGCTGTCTCAATGCTGGGATGACAGACATTTGCTGTCACTCCTGGATGGTCTACCTACTTATGAGGAATGGCCTGGATCTACAAATATGGGGTTTGCTTCTGGCTCTGCTGTTCTCTGCAACCAAGGACATAAGGCCCTTCCTTCCCTTCAGCCAGAGTCACAGTTCTCAGTGTCACAAACTGTCAGCATCAGAGCAAAGAAGGGGTCAGTCCACCCAAGCACTCTATGGTGCTGGGTCAACCCTGAGGTAACTGTCTATGTGTGACTTTATGGAGAAGATAAGCTGTTTTTTTTCCTGTGTACCTACCTCTGTGTGTTTGTGCTTGTGTCTGTGAGTGGAGGCTGGAGGTCAGGTGGACCAACAGTGCCTTCCTCGGTCATCTACATCATCACTACTACTGTTACTACTTGACATAGGGTCTTCAGGGTCACTGGAGCTTGCTGGTAGACTGGTTGGCCAGCAATTACCAGGGACTATCTTTGTCCCTCCAGCATTAGGATTACAGGTGTGTACACTGCTGGGTCTGGCTCTTCCCATGGGTTCTGAAGGCTCACATAGCAAGTGCTTTACTAACTGAGCCATTTCCCTGGCCCAAGAAAATTAATTGCTATTTGATAATCTTTCTTTTAAGATAGGGTCTTGCAGGGCGGTGGTGGCACATACCTTTAGTCCCAGCACTTGGGAGGCAGAGGCAGGCAGATCTCTGAGTTTGAGTTCAGCCTGGTCTACAGAGCTAATTCTAGGACAGCCTTTTTCACAGTAAATCCCTGTCTTGAAAAACTATAAAAAAAAAAAAAAAAAAAAAAAAAAGACAGGGTCTCACTATGTAGCTCTGACTGCCCTGAAAATCCCTGGCTGGCCTGGAACTCACAGAGATCTGCCTACCCTAGCCTCCCAAGTGCTGGGATTAAAGGAGTGTGCCACCACACCTGGCAACTACTTGGCAATTTAAAAGTTTTTTGAAATTAAATATGCAGACATGTTGGTGAAAGGGAACAGTGCAAACAGCATAAAAGATCTAGTTAGGCAACTCATCTTACCTCCCACTAGATATATTTGGCACTAAGCATACATAGAGGTATTTCACAATAAAATGCTGGGTGCACAAGAGATTAGGAGGATGAGAAAGGAATGCAGTTCTCCTTGCGGGGGTGGGGCTAGGAATCTTTAGTTTGAAAACCCACCACATGACTTTTATGCACCTTTTCAGGCCTGATGCTGTGACCACTGTGCTGCAGTTTAAGTTCCTCATGCTCAACACTGTCACAGCAGCGGTCACTGTTAATATACATGGGTCAATTGCTTCCTTGTTGCTGGACCAAAATACCCACAAAGCAACCTAAGCAGAAAAATGTATTTAGAGTCATGGTTTTAGAGGTTTCACCCATCACGCTGGGGACTGTGGGAGCGTGCTGTTAAACTTGGCAGGCACAAAATAGAGCAGACCAAGAGGAAAGAGTGAGTGCCAGATAGGACTCCCAGGGACACCCCCTCAACCCAGCGACAAGGCTCCACCTTCCCCAGTTCCACCACCTTCCAATAGTCTCAGAGACGCACCAGTGAAA